CCTGGAGTAACTGCCTGTGTTTTGAAATCTCCATGCTCTTGAGGCTGTGCTGGGAGACACAGCAAACCTTCTGGCAGTGGCACGTATTGCTGTGGCATCCTGGAGAAGTTGGCATGCCTGTGCAACCTCTATAGGGTCCAGGTATCTCCTCATGCTACCAGTAGTGACACTGACTCTAGCCAAATGCAAAATTAGTAAAAAAAAAAACAGCCAGAAAAGATGAGTAGGGAAAAAAAGATCAGTGGCCTCCACCTGTAAAACCATTCCTGTTTTGGAGGTTGTCTCATTGTTGCCCATCTAGTGCACCTGTTAATTTCATTAACAGCCCGCTCTGCGACTTAACTGACCTGATCAATATCCCAGGAGTTTAATTGACTTGATGCTATACTCTGCTTTAAAAAGTGTTCCTTTCATTTTTTTTGAGCAGTGTATTTCTTTACGTTTTTGTCCAAGCGCTTATAGTATGTTTCCAAACAGCTGGCTCCATGTCTCTGAGCTCTGCTTCCCTGAACCTCCTGTCCACTACAAGATCACAAGAGCAGTAGAGCAGTCTCCAGCAGCTGTTCATCTACTAGCATGGAGAACAGTGGAGTGAGGAGCAGAGAAGTGGCATGCCTTGCCTTGTCTGTGTCATCTTCCAGGACAGCCAATGAGAGGAAGAGGAACAGGAAACACATCAACCACATTAAATAAAAAGGCACCTCCTTCCACCTCAATTCAGTTTTTTTGTGTTTCCTCCGGCTACACAGGGACATCGTAATGTTTGTTATTTTAGGGCTCAAGTTATATTTGCCTTAGGGCAGTCCTAACCTTGGTATGTGTTGGGACCTACTCGAGGTATTGCCTGCTGCAGCGCATACAGGGATTCCCTATCGGACCCCCATCCGATGATTGGCCAAGGTTTACCCTCTTGGGACAGCACAGTGACAGCACCAGTCGGAAGAGTTTTACCTGAGAGGCTTGGTCAAGACGCGGTTGTAACCCTGGTTGGGCTCGCGCGGGAGGGTTAGTGGCGTCTCTAGGCTGTTGCGGCTGAGAGCTGGGAAGGTGGCGTATGTCACATTGAGGTTGCCTTAGCGCTCGGCGCATCATCAGTAGGTGACGCAGTTCCGGTGCGTCGTTTCCAGGTTCCGGAACGCCAGCTGAGCGCTGGTCAGCGCATAAAAGGCGCTCATGCGGACACAGCCAGCATGTGAGGATCGGAGGGGAAAGTTCTCACAGCAAACGCCGCTCAACTGCGACTATTGCAGCGGCACAGCTTTTACACCAACCGGGACCACATACGGCCAGTGGAGGACGTCGGGAGTGGGCCGAGTGAGTGCAGTCGGCAGTGAGCTGAAAATGCCCACGGATGCCGGACCTGGTGCTGCTTCTCCAGATCTGGGAGAGCATGGCGCTAAGGTAGGCGAGTTTTTTGTGAGGATTCTCCTCTACCTTTACCCTGCTTGTTTTGGGGACCTGCATATACAGGACAAGCTTGGGTAGTGATGTAAACATTGATTGCATGTTGGGAGGAGCACTGGCTGGCATCCTTCTTGTCTTACACAGGTTAAAGTCACAGAGGATAAAGCCCTTGCTGAAGCTGGTTGCTCTCGCCCAAAGGGGAAAAAGTGAGCTTCTTGTAATGCCAAGATGTCATCTTCATGGTCCAAACCCTTATGTAAAGGCTGTTTAGAGAAAATGGTTGCCAAAGAATCGGCAGGGATGTTCAAGGGTCTGATGGATTCTATGAGGGAGGAAATTGTTACTACGTTTACTCTTTCATGTCCTTAATACAGAACCCAGTGGGAACGCTAGTGGAACACTAGTCTGCCAGGAACATCGGGGGAAGGTAGCTCGGTGGGCTACGCAGAGAGGTGCGTAAGCAGGCGCCCAGTGAATCCTCGGCCTCTCAGGTAGAGTCAGAGGATCAGGAAGATTCAGAGGGTGACGAACAGAGCGGTAGAGCTACAAAATTCCTATTCCCTTCCTTTGAGACAGGTGAGCTGTTGAAGACTTTATGGGATACTTTAGGTATTAAGGAGGAGTCCGCTGAGCTGTGAGTGCATGATAAGCTTTACAAAGGACTCCAAACTAAAAAAGGTCGTACCTTCCCAGTTCACAAATCCCTATCGGAACTGATCCAGGAAGAGTGGAAGCACCCAGAGAAAAGAATGTTTTTCTCGGCAGGTCACAAGCGTAGATTCCCATTTGCGGAGGGGGATTCAGGCCTGTGAGAGAAATGCCCGAAACTAGATGCGTCTTTATCGAAGGTCTCCAAAAAGACAGATTTGTCATTTTGAAGATATGGGGGCATTGAAGGACCCGATGGATAGGAAAGCCGAGGCTTTGCTCAGAAAGGGATGGAAATCGGCTAGTGCTGGTTTTTTTTTTTTTTTTTAACAAAATTTTTTTTTCTGTTTTAGCAGTCAACCCTCATCGGGTATGACCACAACGTACCAGGAAATTCAATACAGATAATACGAGGTTTTCTCTAGTGCTGGTTTTAAACCAGGGCTGGCCATTACTTGTGTGGCCAGGACTTTTGAGTGTGTGTCTCTGAACCAGCTTCAAGCACATCGGGAGTCTGGTACTGATCGAGATCAGCTGCTGGAATCCCTCCCCGTGCTGAGCAAGGCAGCTGCTTACATTGCTGACGCTTCAGCTGAGTCAGTCAGGCATTGATCAACTCCTCTAGGAGGTCTTTGTGGCTCAAGATGTGGCCAGGGGATGCAGCCTCCAAGGCAAAATTGTGCGGACTACCTTTCAGAGGTGACTTACTTTTTGGGCAGGAGTAGGAGGCGGTTTTAGACAGATCCGCGGACAAGAAGAAAGGGTTTCCGTTGCCTCCCAAGCAGCAGCGGAAAAAGTTTTTTCGTGGCCAAAGGGGGCAAAACTTCCGCAAAGGGAAGAAACAGGACCCGTCTAAAGGGTGGGCGTTTAAAAAGGGAAAATCAAAAGGAAATTTCCTCTTTAACCCCCCACAGGTGCTAGGATGAAGGAAAGGACCTCCACGGTAGTTTTCTCAGAGATACTGCCGGTGCCAAGAGCCACTCCGGACAGACAGCGCGAGTTGAGGGAGCTTAACAAGTGGCTCCGGAGCTGGTGTCAGAAGGAAGGTTTTGGTTTCCTGGAGAACTGGGCTGACTTCGCAGTCGGCTATCGGCTCTTCAGCCGAGACGGGCTGCATCTTAATGGGAAAGGTGCAGCATTCCTGGGGGGGAAAATGGTAGAAAGACTGGAGGAGCTTTTAAACTAGGAAGTGGGGGGGAGGGTATAAAAATAAAATCACTTATATTTTTATACCCTAATTTAATCATAATAATTTAATCATAGGTAAAAATAACACAAAGTAGTAAAGGAGTTCATAATAGTGGGCTCACTCCAGTCAATATAGGAAGAATTCTTCCCACTCTGGGTGGGGCTGACCAACAACAAGTTTATTTTGGAACTGGTTGAGACCGGTTACAAAATAGAATTGACGGAGTACCTGTTATTGTACGGGTACCTGTTCTAGAAGAGCGGAGGGGATTTTATTCCCACATCTTTTCCAGGATAAAACCCTCTGGAAAGTGCAGACTGACCCTAAATCTGCAGCCTCTAAACAGGGTGGTACTGTACAAAAAATTCCGTATGGAATCAATCTTTTCGATACAAGAGTTGCTGCCTCCAGGATCTTTTTTAGCGACTAGACCTCGGAGATGCTTATTTTCACATTTCAGTAAGAGTCGTCCCAATACCTGCTGAGATTCGCTTTCCGGGGACCAGCAGGGGTTCTGCAATTTCAATACAGGGCTCTGCCATTCGGCCTTTCCTCTTCGCCTCGTATCTTTACCAAAGTGTTGGCAGAAACTCTAGCCCCCCTAAGATGGGAGGTCGGCCAAGTATGGTGGTGGTCGTTCCATACTTGGCCGACCTCCTGTTTTTTGCACCGTCTGAGATCTTACTCCAACAAAAACTGGAGCTGGCGATATAACACTTGGAAAGTCTGGGTTGGTTGGTGAACCGGGAAAAGTCACAGCTGGTCCCCTCACAGACCGTAAAGTTTTTAGGTTATTGGATCAATACTCGGGACATGACGATTACATTACCGGTGGAAAAAGTGTCTTTGCTGTCAGAGGAGACATGGAGACTGAAGTTGCTAAGCGACGTCTCAGTCAGATCGGTAATGAGGGTGGTGGGGCTGATGACGTCAGACATCCCAGCAGTTACCTGGGCACAATTCCATTCAAGGCCGCTACAGAATTGGCTTTTGAGTATCTGGGGAGGTCGACAAGAAGACCTAGACAAGGTAGTCCACAAAACTTGATGCGATCAAGCAATCCCTCCTGTGGTGGATGGAGTGTCGGAACCTCTCAGTAAGCAGGCTGTGGTGCCAGCCAGCACCTTTGATAGTCAGGACGGATGCCAGTGCCTGGGGGTGGGGGGCCCACTGCCATGGAGCACATTTGGCAGAGCACGTGGTAACACGCATGGAGAATCAAGTCATCAAACTGGAGAGAGTTAAAGGCGATAGGGCTGGCCCTCTACCATTTTCAAGATATTTTAGCAGGCCACCATGTAGTGGCCTCGGACAATGCTGCAGCGGTCGCATATATAAACAAGCAGGGGGAGACGCACTCACATGGTTTGATGGCTTTGACAGTGGAAATGCCAAATAGTATTTTTAGCCCATTCTGAGCCTTTCCCTGTTTGGACTGTAGTTCAACACCCCCTTTCCTCGTTTATAACAAGTAGTGTGTTTTGTTGTTCACCAGGGGTGAACTCAAGCAAGGCTGATAACAGTGCTTGAGATTTAAGTGCAGCAGTGTTTGTCCGCTTACTACAGAAAGTTAGCAACTAGATTTTTAGAAGAATGTATCTGTATTTGTTCTCATTGTACCTTCTTATTATGCACTGTAGCCTGTATTGATGACTGCATTTTTATTTTACTAAAGGAAACAACCAAAGATATGCTGATAGATAAATTTCTAGAAAAAAAAAACCAGTGCAATTAAACTTCCATGTTTTCCATTTACCAGGTACCAGTTTTTGGAAGAGGCATTTCAGAACCAGAAAGGTGCTATTGAAAACCTCTTGGCAAAGCTTCTGGAGAAGAAAAATTATGTGCATTTTGCTGCTACTCAGGTTCAGAACAGGTAGATTTTTTTTTTCTTGCATTCTTAGAATCCTAATTGCTTCCATATGCATGTAACAGATTTCCATATGCAGCAGTCTGTCCATAGCATCAGGATCACAGATATTATCCAAGTTGCCCAGCAGAAGTGGCAATTACTGGATTGGGAAACCCTTTATTACATGGGTGCTGGTGCTTACATTGGTTGTTTATTCATTTGGCTTGAGCCTTTTTTCACTTGTTACTGCTTAAAAAATGTTTATCAAGAGTTGAGCTTCAATTTTGTTAACTCCTTCATGACCAGTGACGTATGTAACACGGCTTATTTCAAGTGATAAGGTGATACTAGGGGTCTTTTGGACCCCCAGTATTGCCTTAAAGAGTACCTGTCACTGCCAATATGCTATCACATGGGGGTTTGTAAGCCCCCCTATGTGATAGCAATTAAAGTTAAAAAAAATAGTTTTTTTAAAATTAAATTAATATGAAATCAAATGCAAAAATAAATGTCACGCGCATCTTCACGTAAACACGTGTCGGGTGCGCCTACGTATAAAAAACAACTATCGCGCTACACATGTTGGCCATCGCCACGCACGCCGGAGTGAGACCAATAATTCTAGGGCCAATATTTGCGTGCATTTCTAAACTGATGACCTGCAGTGGCCTTTAAAGCGTCAACTATGGACTTTTTGGGGAACTGAATTCTGTTGCAGTTTCACCGACGCACACAATTTTTAACCTGGGCATGTTGGGTATCTATTTACTCGTTGAATCCTCATCTTCTATATTTTATATTTTTTTTAAAATGGGTATTGTGTTTTGAGGCATTGAAATGCATTTTTCACACAATTTTGGGGTTTGATAACGAGAAAATATATAATGTTTTGGGGTTTCCAGTAATTTTCAGGCCTAAATTGTGGATTATAACATATAAACAAAAAATGGCCTCGGTCATGAAGGGGTTAAATACCACTTAAAACTTAATTTCCTGCTCGGATTACCGAGTTCTATAGGGAGCTGTTGCTGCATTTCACTGCACAGCAAACAGTTTTCATTAAAAATAAAGCCACACCATTTTTTTTTTCTCTCCCGTTCATTGAAGGACACAGGCAACAGATCGTAGATCCTGAATGGTAGGGTAATATCGCCACCTGCAGGAGAAGGACGCTAGGCACAAAACTAAAGACCAGTTACAGCCTAGGGGCGGCCCCTGCATGTTTTTTTCCCATCCAGCTGTGGTGGACCTTTTTGTCCCAGGGGGTGATTGTGCCGGTTCCGTCCTCAGAGGTTCAAAGGGTTTTATTCAAACCTATTTACTGTGCCCAAGCAAGAGGGGGTGTGGCCCATCCTGGACCTCAAGCGTTTGAACACCTTCGTGTGGGCCCGTCGGTTCCGGATGGAGTCGATCCGTTCCGTGGCGGCCTGGCTTCGTCAGGGATATCTTCTGGCCTCCATCGATATTCAGGATGCATACCCTCATGTACCCGTTTGCGAGTCTCATCAGCGGTATCTACGTTTCGCGGTGGGGGAGGACCATTTTCAGTTTGTGGTGCTGCCCTTCGGCTGGCGTCGGCCCCACGTGTTTTCACCAAGGTGCTGGCCCCGATCCTGGCGCTGTCGCGTTGTCGGTGGTTTCGATTGTGGGGTGCCTGGACGATCTGCTCCTACGGGCAGAGTCACATTCTTCGATGGTGACGGCTCTGGGGGTCACGGTGCGGTCCTTGGAGGAGTTCGGGTGGCTGCTGAACATGTGAAAGTCTTGCCTGGTGACCTCTCCACGCCTGGAGTATCTGGGTTTGGTTCTGGACACTGTCGCGGCCCGGGTCTTTCTCCCTCGGGACGAGCTCCTGAAACTCCGTTCCAAGGTCCAGCTACTGAGGACTCGCCAGTGGTCGCCCATACGGGTTTGCGTGCAGGTCCTGGGTCTCATGGGGCCTCCTTCGAGACGGTGCCCTTTACGCAACATCATACCAGGACCCTGCAGGGGAACATCCTGGTACAGTGGGACAAGTCCCCCCTGTCCTTGGACAGGGAGATTCGGATCTCTCGGGTGGCAAGGACCTCCCTGCGGTGGTGGCTTCAATCTCCGGCCTTCGTGCGGGGGAAGTCTTTCCTTCCCGTGCACTGGACGGTGGTCACCACTGACGTCTGCCTTTTGGGGCTGGGGCAGGGTCCTGGGCTCCTTGACCGTGCAGGGTCATTGATCGTCGGTGGACCCGGGGGAGTGGTCTCTGCACCCGGCGGTTTTTCGGCAGCTGTGTAGTCGCTGGGGGACGCCGGAGGTGGATCTTCTGGCGTCTCGGTTCAACCGGAAAGTGGACAGGTGTGTGGCCCGGGTCCTGGATCCCTGGGCGGTGCAGTGGATGCCCTGGTGGCTCCTTGGGGTCCTTACGGTCTACTTTACAACTTCCCCCTCTGTATCTGTTGCCTCGGCTGCGTCGGATCGCGGCCGAGGGCGTCACCGTCATCCAGTAACCCCTTAAGGACGGAGGCAATTTTCCAAGTTCTAAAAGTAACCATACAATTTGAGTTCAACCGTAATTTACCTCTTTCACATTAAGGGCACGCACACTTATTGTATATTGTTTTTTTGAAGACAACACGGGGCTTTCGTTTGACAACAAATAATTACAAATGAACTGTAATTATATATGACTAACATTTTACCAATTATGATAAATTAAGACATTTTCATTTTTCCCCAAACATGCACACATACATTTTATTGGGAATATCATAATACTGATGTTTTACTGCAATAAAACACCCATAATTGTATTCTACAATGTCCCATGTGTACATCAATACCCCCATTGTACAGGATTACAGGGGTTTATGGGACTTACAGAACCAAATATGGGGCTTTCCCATTTCAGTCATCATGCATGGAATTTCGTCACATTGCATTTCTGGGCCTATAGTATGGTCCACTTTTTGAGCAAAATTTTAATTAACCACTTAAAGGCCATGGTGTTTTACCCCCTTCCTGGCCAGGCCATTTTGCAGTATTCAGCGCTGCGGTACTTTGACTGATTATTCCGTCATGCAACGCTGTACTGAAATGAATTTCATACCATTTTTCGGGGACAGATAGAGCTTTCTTTTAGTGGTATTTAATCACCACTGGGGTTTTTATTTTTTACTATATAACAAAAAAAGTACCCTAAATTTTGAAAAAAAACCCATGTTTCCCTATAAAATGTTATGAAACATTTATTTTCACCCCAATTTTTTGGTATAATATAAAAGACGGGGTCACGTCGGGTAAATAGACACTAAACATGTCAACCTTTAAAATTGTGCCCGCCCGCGAAATCGCAGAAAACTTCCCGCAACCAAAATTGGCCATAGGCGACGCTTTAAACGTATTTACCGCTCATCAGTTTAGTGTCATCAGTGATTGATGGCCCTAGAATTATTGTTCTCACTGCGACGTTCGCGGCGATATGTAACATGCTGCATAATGGGCGCAATTGTCGTTTTTGTACATAGGCGCACCCGACGCATGTTTGCGTGTGTATGTGGGGGGGCGGGGGACTTTAAAACATTTTTTGTTATTTTGTTTAATTATTATTTGAAATATTTTTTTTTAGCTTCTTTATTTTTTTTGAATGCTGTAATTTTTTTTAAACTTTTTTTTTTTTTTTTTTTTTTTTTTTTT